TCGTTCAGATGATTTAAACAGGTTTTGGTGCTGTCTTCGTACCGGTGGAGGCAGGACGACAGCGCCACCTGCAGTCCCACTTCCTCAGGACAGAATCCCAGGTGTGTGAGAGTAAAAAAAGCCTCTCGTCCCGGTTTATCGTCCCGTGGGCATGTTTCCGTATTTCGATTGATTGCTAATACCAAAAATGGGCAATAAACAAAGGAAAACAACAGCTCAGAGAGAGAAAAAAACCTGAACATAAGGGCGCAGGAATGGTGACATTACCGTACATCAGGGGCATAACAGAAAAAGTGCAGAGGGCAATGAGAAAACATAATCCAGTGAAACCATACAGAAAATTGGGCTACAGCCCTTATTCCTACAGACCCCCACCCCGACATTCTGTCATTTCAACAACATTCCATTCCGACACTTTCTGATGCCGCCATTCCGACACCTTTTATGTCACCATTCTGACAACCCACTCATAGTTTGGAGCGTCACCTTTTTTGCCTTGTGTTTGTAGAATACCAGAGTTTTTTTTTTTTTTTTTCTATCTCAGGTCTAATGAGCAGGGGTGAAAGTAGACCGGTGCACTGCTGCAAGTCTGTAAAAATGTTGTACCGAAAAGAGTGCTGCCAGAACTTAATAATGACCTTGTATGTTAGGGCAGAATGTTGAAAAAAAAAATGTTGGAGTGCAGGGACGTTTGATAAAAAATGGAAATGCCACCACTCCGACAATTAGACGGTAGTGTTGGAATGGCAGCATGCAACCCAGAAAACCGAAGCAATTACTCGTCCGCCCAAAAGATAGAACATGTCCTGCAATAAAGTACATCGTCGCTGGATTAAAGAGGCAATTGAAATACGGAAACATGCCCACAGGATGATAAACCGGGACGAAGGGCTTTTTTTACTTTCCCACACCTGGATACTGTCCTGAGGAAGTGAGACTTTAAAACACATCACAGAAACATTATGAGACTCTGAGGAAGAGCACAGGGAACAGAACAAACTGTCAGGGATGAAAACAAACTCTTGGTCTGAAAAAAGAACCTGATAACAAAGAAAGAATGCTGCAGTTATAGTGATTGGTTGAGAGGAAAAAGAAGCAGGTTGTGTTTGTGATTGTGATCGACATTTCTGCCTCATATACAGGCCGTGTCTCATTTCTCTTTCCTCGTTTCCTTCTCCTTAATTCCTCTCAAGGAAACGGGTGAGGAAGTCCCGCCCACAGACGAGACAAATCCAGGAGAAGAGAATCTAAACTCCTCGCTGAGACCAATAAAGTTTGATTCTTTTCTCAGATGTCTGCTCCTGAAGCCTCCCTCGAGTTTACTCCTTCGTTCTGCGGTTTTCTTTCTTTCCATTTAATAAGACGCGTTTGAATGACGGCTGAAAAATGGAGCATCAAGGAGAAGGAAGCGAGGAGAGAGAATGGGAAGCAAAAGATCGAATTGCACGGTCAAAACCCATTGTTTGATTTGATTTGATTTGCGTGGACTGTGTGTGGAAGTTTGATCTGACCATTAGAGACTTTGGCAACAATTAGGTTTCATTTCGATTGAAACTCTTTATACATGGCTCATAGATCAAGTGGATTCAGAGTAACAGTACCTCTGTGACTTCAGCTCAGCCCACACCACACTAAACTGTCACAGGAGACTACAGCCTGCGTTAAGTGGATCCTCATGCCTAAGTACTTCCTTCTTCCCTTCCTTTCTCTCTCTCTTTCTGTTGCTCCGTCATCGTCGTCTCTCTTCTTTCTTCCTCTCTTTCTATCTCTCTTTATTGTCTTTGTACGTCCTCCGGTGTCTTTGGCGTGTGGAAGTTCTCAGCCCTTCCTCTGTCTCTCCGTACCTCTTTATCCCTCGTTTTCTCTCTTCTTTTACCTCCCACCCTGCCCTCCAGTGAGTTTGGAGACCAATCCAAAACATCTCTCTTTTACTTCATCCCTGTTTCTCTTCCTCAGCTTCCCTCTCTCCACCCTGACCTCAAGTGTTTGAGGAGTGTGGCAGAGCTCTCACTCTTTGCTCTCTCTCTCCATTCCTCCTTCACCCTTTCTTCTTTCCTCTCTCGCTCTCTCTCTTTCCGTCTTACCTTCAAGTGTTTTAGGAGTGTGGCAACCCCCAATCTCCCGCTCTCTCTCTCTCTTCTCTGCATCTTACCCTCCACTGACTTTGGAGTTGTCCTCTCTCTCTTCTCCTCTCTCTCTCTCTCTCTCTCTCCCCTCTTACTCCAGTGTTCTTTCTTCTCTCTTCTCTCTTCCTCCTTCTCCTCTCTCTTCCTCTCTCTCTTCTATCTCTTCCTTTTCTCTTTCAGTTCTTATTCTCCTCTTCTTTCCTTTCTCTTTCTCTTCCTCCTCTTTTCTCTCTTCCTTCTCTCTCCTCTTCCTCTGTCTTTCTCCTCTCACTCTCTCTCTCTCTCCTTCTCTTCCTCTCTCTCTTCTCTCCTTCTTCTCTTCTTCTCTTCCTCTTTTCTCTTTCCCTCCTCATTCTCTCTTCTCTCTTTCTCTCTTCTCTTCTCCTCCCTCTCTCCTCCTTCCTCCTCCTTCATTCTCTTCTCTCTTCCTCTTTCCTCTCTTCTTTCTCCTTTTCTCCTCTCTCTCTCTCTCTGTCTCTCATCTCTCTCTCTCTCTCTCTTCTCTGTCTCTCTCTCTGTCTCTCTATCTCTCTTTCTCTCTCTCTCTCTCTCTCTTTGTGTCTCTCTATCTGATCATTCCCTCTCTCTCTGTCTCTCTCTCTCTCTCTCTACTTCCCTCCTTCACCCCTTCCCCTTCCCTCTCTTTCGCTTCATCTTATTCTCACTCTCTTCTCTCTGTTTCCTTCACCCCTTCACCCTCCTGATCTCTCTCCATCTTACTCGCCAATGTCTCTTTCTTCCTTGTTCTCTTTCCTTCCCTCCTTCACCTCTTCTCCCTTCCTTCCTCTCTCTCTCCTCCTTACCTTCCAGTGTCTTTGGAGTGTGGCAGCCCTCTCTTTTTTCCTCGTTCTCTTTCCTTCCCTCCTTAACCCCCTCTTCCTTCCTCTCTCTCCATCTTACCCTCCAGTGTCTTATGAGTGTAACTACCTTCTCTTCCTCTCTCCCACCCTCCCTCCCTCTTTCTCTCTCCATCTTCTTCTGTCTTTGGAGTGTGTCGGTCCTTTCGCCGCTGAACCTTTCCTCAAACAAACAGAAACATAAGGACACTTCAAACCGCTGCAGCTCCGCGGGACGTCCCACACACACTCCACAGGCCGGACCCTCTCCCTCTCTCCCTCTCTCCCTCTCCTCTCTCCTCCTCCTCCTCCCCCCATCTCCGGTCCACCCCATGAATATTAAACAGGGAGTGTGGAATGCTTCAGAACTTAAAAGAAGGTGTTGAGTGTCAGAGGACGTCGGATCAGTTTGCTTTTCACTGCAGAGTCTCAAACAGAGGAGCAGGGTCAGGACAGGAGCAGAAAGAGAAACCACTTTATATGGACACTACGTAAGATTGTTTATTATGATTTTAAAACAGATCAGAATTGGCCAATGGTCAAATTAAATATTGAATCTACTGATAACAATTGTAATGTGTATTCTCTTGTTTCAATTCACAAGACTGTTATTCAATCGGACATCATAAGAGCCTCTTTCAGTGGTGAAATCCAGTTGGTTCAAACCTAAAATGTCTCTCTGATCTGAATGGGCACTAACTAAACCCCAATAAGTCAGTGCTAGTGCAGCCTCTGCAGCTCATTGAGGGAATTCTAGAGGTTTTGAGCTTTCACATGACGTGACCTGTCCGTTTAACCATGTTATAACATTGTTCCTTCATTTAAAACTTACCTAGAGTTGTACTTTGGTTCATTTGTTCCCAAATACCCAATGTGTGGTCGCTGTCTGCTCCGTGTGTGTTTGCGTGTTTGCGTGTTCTGCCGGTGGTGCGGCTTTGTAGTTTACTGAAGTCGTGCTGGGACACTCGAGTGGATTCGTGTATAGGGCTCTCTGAATTGTGGGGCGCACAGTCGTTTTTTGATGCGGTTAGAGGCTTAAGAGCGCGTCTAATAGCCTGGAAAATACAGTAGTTCCATAGTCCAGCAGAAAACAAACTGGAAGTCTCCTGCAGTTTTTATGTCCATACACCATCTCTGGACTGATTCGGAGAATTCTCTGCTCAACTTGGAATGACTGAGAACACATGACATTGCTAAAAGGCTTATTTTTCATGATTCATGCCATGTCCTGTCAGCAGAGGGCTGCTAATGTGATCAGAAGTATAAATCATGGAAACTGTAACGTCATATAGTTTGAAGTGAAGGTAATACATACCTCTAAACATCTTTTCTTTGGTTTGGTACACTGCCGGTCTAAAGTTTTACAACACCACACTTTTTCCAGTTTTTTACTGTTTACTTTTGAACAGAATATATTCTAAACTTTTGATTGATGAAAGTGTTCACCTTTGGCAGATAGAACAGCTGAACACACTCGTGGCTCGTTCTTTTTACAAAAGAAATCAAATATTGTTCAGAAAGTTCTTCCCAAGTCTGTTGCAGAAGTTTCCATAAATGTGTGGCACTTGTAGGTTGCTTCACTCTTCAGTCCAGTTCATCCCAAACCAGCTCCATGGGGTTTAAGTCTGGACACTGTGCTGCTGCTGGACACTCCAGGTTTTCAAGCTTTACCATCTTGTTCTTTTTTCCTGAGGTCGTTTTGGCAGAACTTGGACTTGTGTTTTGTTCTTTTATAATTTTTTTAACCTCTGTCTGTTCAGTTTTTAAGGCTCTTCGTACCATTTCGGACTGTTCGTTGGACTTGCACGACTTGAATTGCAATAAATAACTGGAAAAATTAGGGTGATCCAAAACTTTTGATCAGTAGTGTATGTTTTAAGGTGAAGGTAATACATACTTCTAAACATCTTCTCTTTGGTTTGGTATGTACGTGACTAGTGCTCCGAAATGTCACATTAGCATATGTTCGGTGTAACGTGTGTCTAACCCGGTTTATCGTTTCAGTGGGTTTTAGTGACTCGTCTCTGTTTGTCCACAGATCCGAGGAGGGAAGCTGATGATCACGAACGCCCGTAAGAGCGACGCGGGGAAGTACGTGTGTGTGGGCACCAACATGGTGGGCGAGAGGGAGAGCGAGGTGGCCGAGCTCACCGTGCTGGGTAAGAATACTCTCAAATATATGTCCTAGGACTGCATTCTCCATACTGCATTTATCTACTGCATTTGAGAGTGACATCTAAAATAATGTTGTGACAAAAGGTCGCCACTCCCAGTTACTGAAATCAATTTAAGTCCATTATGCAACATGGACCTTTAGGACTTTTTAACCATGTCATTCTGTTGTCTTTTCCTCAAAACAATGCCTGCAGTTGTATTGTATTTCATTCATGCTTGTTTCATTAATCCCTGAATCCAAAGTGGTCTTCTCTAAGCCTCAAAAATGCTCTGTTTGCATTCTGCCTGTTTAGTTGCGTCATAGATAAAACTCTGCACTTCTCTTGTCTCTTGTCCATAAACCATCAGCAGACTCATTCTGCGGTCAAATTGTTTTCATCAAAAAACCCATGTTTCTACTAACAGAGCAATCATGAGGGATAAGGACCTCATTTGTTTACTGTCTCAATGTTGAAATATCAATAACTCAGCATGAACAAATATCTGCTAACAATTCAAGTGAAATAATAAGATGTAAAACTATGAAAATCAACAAATGATTCTGAAATCAAGATCTTTTTTTTTTTTTAAGTGTATTTAGGAAAAAAAAAAAACTATAAATCTACAATGATAAACTTCTCAATAGTTTTTCTTTTTGTTCAGCTATTTCTGACAGACGACCCTCCTCATGTCTGTCCATCCTTCTCACTCCCTCACTTTCTTCCTCTCAGTCCATCTCTCCCCCGCTGTGTCGTCCTTCTGCCGGACAGCTCCCCGTTCCCCTGACCCCTGCCCCCTGCCGTGTCTCCAGTCCTCCACATGAGCACACAGACTGTCACAAATCATTTCACACTTACATAAAAAGATCTGTGTCCCTAAAGATGGACTCACCACCAAACAGTACCTGCTCTGACCTGCAGGGTTCATTAGAGGAGGGGCTCACTGAAATGTTAAGAACATACTTGTAATCTACTGTCGAACTGGTCAAGATTTACCATAATATTACTTTAAGTTCAGTGATCAAAACTGGGCCATCTGATCTTGAGTCTCTTTCAACTGCTGCTACATTTTTTTTTTTTAAGCCAACATATAGAGTGACATTTCAAACATCATTTTACAAAATCATTATTTAAATGTCAGGGCCGACGTGTGGAGATATGAATCTGGTAAAAGAATCAGAAGAAGTTTGAATGCCATGTCAGTGTCAAACTCACAAACTTGGAAATTGCTTTGGTGGTAGGTGCAACAGAAAACAATGAATAATAGTAGTACAAGTATGAAAGCAAATCAGGAGAATAACACAGTACAAAACATTTAGCACAAGTGGGTTAATTATAGTTTATTATGACAGTGACAAGTGCAAAATTTTGTTATTTTAACTTTTTATAATTGTTTTTGACAAACTCGAAGATGGTAAATCAAAAGGAAAAAAACAACAAATGTTTGAGTCATGTTTATTTTATTGCATTCAAGACGCCATTGCTCTGAAACTCTCTGTTTTCCCCTAACACCCACACACACCCACACACACCCACTGCTCTGTACTTACTTCATTCTCCAGTTTTCTGTGATACATGAAGGATTCATCAGTGTTGTTTCACCATTTTGGCCTAAATCTGAAAAATCCATTGCTGTAAGAACAGTATCTGTAGTGGTACATGCACAGCTGGGCTGTCAGCAGCTCCTTTTAAATGTCATAGATTTATAGAGCAGACACAAGCACAATGTAACTGCTTTAACCTAATGGAGACTTTAGACATGAGTGCATTTCATCAGCACACTACTCACACTGATTGCTTCAGAACAGGTGATCGATGATGGGTCAGAGTCGTATTGTAAGGGTCAAACACAGGACCAGAGGTAAAGGCCAGATGATATTTACAAAGAATTCAAATGATATTTGAACATTCACAAACAAGAAGAATTTGGTTTTGAACCATTCCTCGCTCTGCGTTTGGACTCAGGTCCTGCAGTGGTCCAAACCCCTGGAGGACTTGGTGGTTGTTCATGGTTATGTTTTGGACCAATCACAGGGCAGAGTTATGGTCTGGACAGGAGACAAAAGTGAGGCTGAACCAAAACAAACAAAAGAGTATACACACAGGCTACCATCAACTCTTTTTGGAGAGTTAAATCGTATTTTGATATTTTAAAGCTCCAACATGTAATTTTAAGACACAAATTTAGTCAAATGTTAAATATATGGATATTTTTACACTGCACTCAAAAACATAAAAAAAAATAAATAAAAAATGCCCATACTGTGAGCAGGCTTGCATCTCCACAAACCTGACTCGTATTTAGCCTGAAGGATGGCCTCTTCCTGCTTGTTTCCATGGAGATGTTCCTTTGACTGATATTCTATTGGATGGGAAGATGAGTGAACGTTCTGTTTTATTGACAGCGGCACCAGATTAATAATTCACTTTTTCATTAATTATTCACAGAAAAGTGAAGCAATTTAAAAGGAAAAAAAAAAAAAGATAATAATAATACAATCAAATATAAACCAGTGTCTGTTGCATTTATCTTGACGCAGACGACATCACTGATAATTTGGTAATTTCTCCGGAAACCACAGTAACCAAGGGAAAGGGAGTCAAACCAAACTCCCCCCAAAAATCTGCTTTCCACTGGGAATCCTCCAACTTCCACTGGCCCCGTCCAAACCATCAGCTCCAAACAAGATTTATGAAAACAAAACAACCGCACATCTATACAGACGTAATGAGGAGAGGGCTGCAGCAGGACCGTCTCCTCCCTGGGGAATCCTCACCATTCATCTGGCTGCTCTCCACTGGCTTATTTATCGAGCCCAACCAAAATGATCCCACTCATTTTCATACATTTCTGACGAGTTTTAATATTATGTGCGGTTAGAAAAATATTCATGTATGTGGAAAAATACTACATTTGAGACTGAGGTCTATGAGAATGTAAACACGTGAAAGCAAGATCTATTCAGGACCAAAGTAAGAACGAAATAGATAAAATCAATTCAAACATGGTTCTTACTTTCAGTTTTTTGTCTCAGATCCTTTCAAGTCATTTCAGTCAATACACTGAATGTGGCCTCATCAATAACTCACTCATACATGTCCTGGATTCAGCCTTGTTTTCTCTTATACATTACCTATAATTACTATAATTTGCTCTGGAGTATAAGTCACACCAGCCAACAAATGCGTAATGAAGAAGAAAAAAACATATAAGTTGCACTGGTCTATCAGTCGCACTTTTTGGAGGAAATTTATTTGATAGAATCAGAGACCAGGAACAGACATTTCATCTTAAAAGTCAAGTTCTAATAAAAACAATAGAAGAGAGAAAAACAGACTGTTAACATCACATATGAACAGTTCTTCAGATAATAGACGCATCATGCTCGAGAAATTTGTTTGTGAACTTTATAAATGCAAAAGAGAATCCAGATGTGTGTGACTGCAAACCTCCATTCAAACTGTTTCCCTTCCATTGGAATTGAAAAATAGTGAAAGGTGAAGGTGATGGGCAGGATTGATTCACAGGAAGAACCAAAAAGGAAACCTTTGACTGACTAAATCATCCCGAGTTTGCAGAGAACATTTTGTATGTGGAGCGACATCAAAGCAGGATCCTGTTTGTTAAGTGAGAGGAGCAGAAGACAAACAGACTGAGCTGCACTTTCTTGTTCTTGTGGTTTTACAGAAACATCACGTCTTGGTCTCTTTGCAGTGGAAGGTGTTTCTTGGTGAACAGCTGGTGCCTTTCACTTTGGCATTGACTTTTTAAATTCATAACCAAGGTTGAGTGAGGGATCTGGATTTTACTTTGATGGCTCCACATACAAAATGTTCTCTGCAAACTTGGGATGATTTAGGCAGTCAAAGGTTTACTTTTTGGTCCTTCCTGTGGATCAGTCCTGCCCATCACCTATGTCTTTCACTAGTTTTCAATTCCACTGGAAAGAGAAACAGTTTGAACAGAGGTTTGCAGTCACACACATCTGATTCACTTTTGCACTTATGGAGTTTACAAACAAATTTCTCGAGCCGTTTTCTGCTGTTAGGATCCAACAACCACACAATTACAATGTCTGAATCCCAAAACTAAAATATGACAATATCAGAACCAGAAACAAAAGTGATATGGTTCAAAAGACTTGAAAAGATCAACTTTGACAATAGACACATCCCACTGTAAAATCAAACATGGCGGTTCGATGCTCACTTTTTCGGAAAATCCTTCCCAGTCTGAATTGTGCAATGAGCTGAAATTCTTGATGCATTTATTATGCAATAACAACAGAACAAGTTTGCCAAACTCTCCATCTCACTCCAAATCACTAAATTCATTCAATTCTTCATCCTCGGTGCCATTTAACTTTGCAACTTCTGGAGGTAAACTATAGATCCATGAGGTCCACCTTCTGCCAGTCCTTCACAAGTTTCTCGCTCACTCCAAACTTTCTTTCTGCTGCTCGATTACCGTTTTCATCTGCATATTTTACTACTTGCAGCAGGACAGCAGCTTTTTCTGCAGGAGATATGTGCAGTAGGGCGCGAAGTGACAGTGGTACAGGAGTAGCAGAAACTGACACACAATCCTGAGCGCTCTCTCGTGGCTGTCAGTCAGTGTGAACATTTTAATATATAAGTCGCACTGGAGTATAAGTTGCAGGAAACACCCAAACCATGAAAGAAAGTGCAACTTATATTCTGAAAAATACGGTACATCGTTCTCATTTAGTTTCTCATTTATGTGCGTTTGTTTTCCTCCACAGAGCGTCCCAGTTTCATGAGGCGCCGGTCAGTCGGGTGGTGTTAGTGCAGTTCACATGTATTACAGTGAATGATGTGCGTTTGTTTTCCTCCTCAGAACGTCCCAGTTTTGTGAAGCGTCCGGGCAGTCAGGTGGTGCTGGTGGACCAGAGTGTGGAGTTCCGCTGTGAGGCCAGAGGAGACCCAGTGCCCACAGTGCGCTGGAGGAAGGACGACGGAGAGCTGCCCAAGGGAAGGTACGGAACATCTACTCTCACTTTTTGACTTTTTAATAATATCAAGGCTCAAGGATGTGGTGTTTCTTGTCAATACACGACCAATTCTAGATCCAGCTTCTTATTTTTTATGTTGCAAAAGTTCCTCAGATTTTCCAGCTTTCTCACATGGATTTGCCGGTTGCAGGTTTGAGATCCGCGAGGACCACACGCTGAAGCTCCGCAGACTGACCCCGGCAGACGTGGGCTCCTACACCTGCCTGGCCGAGAACATGGTGGGCAAGGCGGAGGCGTCTGCGTCCCTCACCGTCCACGGTAACGTCAGATCTCCTGTACCTCTGATCACACACACAGGAACATCTGAGAAGAAGCTCAAATCTCACCTTTCAAATACACTTTCACTCTATACGGTCTATACGGTGTACAGCTGCTGCTTTGGGCCAGTGACAAAGGAACGAGGAACGGAAGCTTGCATCATTTCAGTGCTGGTTTATCAAGGATTTAGTCCTGGTTAAGACCTGCTTTAAATAAAAAAATGTATGAGCCAATGATTTGTCTTCTTATATACTTTAACTTCTTGGGTTCTTTTTAAAGACAATGCAGTAAAGTGTGTTTACCTTGTTGACATGTTTCGGCTGCTACTGCCATCTTCAGAACTGTCACTGGTGTTGGTCACATAGACATAACAGAGGGCAGCAGGACCATAAGAACACAATCACACTACCGTACATTAGAGGAATAACTGAACCCATCCAGACAGCCATGAAAAAACACAACATCAGCACTGGAGTCAAACCAGACACAAAACTCCGTCAACAGCTCATACACCCCAAAGATAAAATCCCACAAGAACAAAAATGCAACGTCATCTATGAAATCCAACGAAAATCATGCAGTAAATCATACATAGGGGAAACAGGTCGAGCATTTCACATTCGAAACCAAAAGGAATGCAAAAAGGAAACGTCAGAGAGACTCACCAGAACACAAAAAGATAAAGCAGAAAAGGAAAACCTCAAATCTGCCAAATCAGACCAGTGTAAAAGGAACAACCACATTCTGGATCAGGGCAGAGCTCGGGTCATTGGATCAGAAAACAACAAGTTCAAATGTTGGATCAAGGAGGTCACTGAAATCAGGAAACGAGGCAGGGACTGCATTAACCGTTCCTCCTTTCACACACCTGGGACACCCTCCTCCAGAGAACACCGGGCGACGGGAGGCGTGGTCAGTCTGAGCGAACTGCAGGTCCATCAGGCTGACCACGCCCACAGGAAGTAACAACATCTGACCACGCCCACAGGAAGTAACAACAGCTGATACACGACACGTCACCACCAACACCGGGGACACTTCTGAAGATGCAGCAGCCGAAACATGTTAACAAGGTAAATACACTTTACTGCACTGTCTTTAAAAAGAACCCAAGAAGTTAAAAAAGTATGAGCTTTTACAAATTATAAAAGTGTTCAGTTGTCAGAAACATACTTGGAGTTGGTTTTTTTTTTTTGGCTTATTTGCCACTTGTTTGATGAATCCTTCTTTAGTTAGTCCCTGCTAAGCTTCACAAAAACACACAAATTCCCAGTTTTGTGGCGTTAGAGATAAACATCCGGAGTTCTCCTGTGCGGTTATTAGGTTCCTGCTGCCAAATCACGTTCATTGCATCTGCGTTCATGTGTTGCTATAGTTTCCACCGCTCTCCACAATTGATTAAGAACATTGGCTTGTCACTTTCAACCCTTCTCTCTCAATTAACCGATTGATTTTTTTTATTTGACCAAACTCAAAATCCTTACGTTGAATCAATATCTCCTGCCCTGGACCAGTGGCGCGTCTCTATAGATCTTCTCATCCATGATTGAGGACACCAGCTCTGCTCTGCTCAGGGCTTCTGCACATGTCCCATTTTCTATTTTACACTTTGCTTGGGGAATATAGTTGGAAATGATCTGTAGAGCAAATACTGACACATTTACAGAAACGTTTAATAATGTGCATTGTCCCTGTTTAAGTACACTAACACATATGCAGATGCAGGGACTGGCCACAGAACACACAGAGGAGTCAGTGGACCATTGACATACTGCAGATACTTTATTTGGACCATTTCTCCATTTTAATTGTACATGTTGTTTGGAAAAATTGTGAATATTATCTATGCACTAGATTGTGGATCAGGCAGAATTTTTCTGTCTGAGCCCGGCCCGTGTCCGACAGAACAGTGATCAAATCTGACCAGAGACCGACACAATTAAAATCACACTATTTTCAAAGGCCTAATGACACATGTAGAATATTGTTTTTGTTTCTCTTAATGGACACAGAGTCACAAAACACAAACTTGGGATAAAGCAAAAATAATGAGAAGACTTTATCCTTCACCTCTCGTAAAGTGGTACATTTAAAATGCAGCATCTCATCCACATTATCCATAGAAATTTTGGCCTTCGCAAACAATGACATGACCAGTCCACAAAACAGTGCTGTGAATCCAGTTTGACACGTTCTGTAAAAGTAAAAAGGTGGGAGTAGTTCCTCACGTGTGTCTGTTTACATCCACACACTGCAAGGATCAAGGTGAAGCTGCAGAGTAGTGATAGTGACTCTAATTCCTGTGAACTTTAGCTCCAATCTTTTATACTTAAAAAATCCTGTATCTGAAGTTTTGCGCCACATTTCAAAAATAATAATAACACAGTTTTGACTTGGATCTAAACTAGAAGTGCAGAGTCTGATCTTTAAACACTTCAGAGTCTCAGAGTGGACTGGAGACAGGAAACAGCTGACGCTCTCATGTGTCCAAGTCTGACCC